CATTAATTGCACCAGGGTAACTAAGGTAACATTAGCACTTCTTTTATTACTCAAGTCTCAAATAGAAAACAGCAGCTGTATGAGAAAAGTAATAACTTGGCCTCTTCTTATGAAGGAAATATTGGACTTCCAAAAAGTTTCCATTTCACTTTTAAGTTCAAAAGTTACAAATCGCAGATTGATTATGGTCTTCTCTTAGAAGCACTGACTATGCAGCTTCAATATTTAAAGTCACCATTCCGTCTAGAGGGGAAAGGATTAAATGGCTGTGTTGTGAGTTATACAGTACAGGGTCTCTGCCACATAATATGAGAAGGTGTTAATCTGTATTTGCAAGTTGTTGTTATCACTGTCACCAAACAGCACTATAATAATGTAGAGATCCTTTTCTATAACAGATTCTGAAGCACTTCATATAATTCAGTGAGTTAAACCTGGTAATATTCTAGTTCTCTGTTTCACAGTTAAGGAAACAAAGATAACACAAAAACACAATTTACAAAAAGACACATCTGCAAAGTCAAGATGGAGTGAGATTTCATATCATTTGGTTTCCAGTCCTGCCTTACAAATACAATATGCTCGTTCTTCTGCTTAAAAACATTTATGAAAAACATTACCAAAACTATTCATAATGGGTTTTAAAAATCAGTTTGAATGAAACTATAGTTTTAAAACAAAAAATCAGAGTAAGAGTTTCATCAGCTGCACGTGATGGCAATTAACGCAACTACAATCCCTATACTTCCAGTTTCATATAACATGTGTCACTCATTGAGAGCTAGCACAGTTAGAGCCCTGCTATGAACACAGAGAAAAGGGGGAAGCAAAGATACAATGCAGTGCACGTGGACAGTCTATGTCAGGTCATTCTGCTGGAAAAAGACATCTTGTGCAAAATGCAGCTGATGGCTGAATTGAAACATGGTGCTACATGTTGTTGCTAGCTCTACATAAAATCCACCAAAGTTCAAGTATCTGTACTGTCTTGATACCTATCTATCTTTACACGAGCTTTTCCTGTTGCTTTTCAAGGAATGCACAAATGCCACATTAACTAGAACATACAAACTCTCATTTTTAATTAGAAAGATGAGAACCTAGAAACATTCCCTGAATTTTCCCCAATTACAAGAAATATGAAATAATTTCATATACATATTTATTTAATTCTATTTTTATTTCATAAGAGAAAAACAGATGCTAAAATCCACAGAAACCCCAGTGATATGTAACCCTAGTTGTTGGTATTACCTGAGATGCTTTATTCACAAAATTAAGAACAGAGGCATAATCTTAAACATATCAGCATTCCTTTGACTGAAATTTATCCTTCTCCGTGAGCCCCAGATGCTTTGGTGCACTATAACCCTGGGAACAGTAAGGAACAGTGGACACAACACAAGATTTTTGGTAGTATGCAACTGAGTTGACTCATACTCTCCTACTCCAAGCCACTCAGCAGTAGCTTAAGGGAAGGAGCTTGCAGCAGGGCCTCTCACTCTCTCCCAAAATTTTATCCGTTGTTAGTGCTGTAGTGGCTAGCCCCAGACCCACCAAAAACGTCCACACGTGCTACAAGAAGAGCATTATGTTGGTGTTTGCCTATCTATCTTTGGTTTATGTTTGGCTAACAAATGGTGGTAAGGGCTACAAATACATTAGTTTCCAGGCTACAAATATATAAGTTTCCAGCCTTATGAATAATCATATCCACTGTGAGCCCTTAAAAGACTAGGCATGTGGATTGACAAGTTAAGCATTGTTAGATGACATTAATCAGATGGAAGTCTAAACTCACAGGTCTGTCTATGCATGACCCTAATTTCAGCCCTTAAAAAGTCTTGGTGTAAAATGTAAAGGAGAGTCTACTGGAGAAGGAATGATTAATAAATCCTGAGTAGAAAGAGCACAAACTCACATAAATTAACAGACATAACGGACTCTCCTTATCTCTAAATTAAAGTCCATACCGCATTTTGGAGTCAAATTGCCAATATGATGTTGAGAGATATTTTTAAGAGAATTGTTAGACTTTTTTTTTTTTTTTCTCAACCTCCTCCACGCTGATACTAGACCACAAAGAGCATGTATTTATTTTACCATAGGAGAGCACTAAGACTGAAGGAATCTTGCGCTGTACTCAGAAGGCAGTCATTACAACCCAAGACAAACTACAAAGGCTGACATTCAGCCTTTGACAGGAACTCATAATGTGCTTTTGTAATACGAATGAGATTCTCACCTTCTAAAAGCAGAAAACTAAGCTCAAAACTAAGTGATTCACCTAAAGCTAAAAAAAAAAAAAAAATCAGAAAGGAACTGTGTAGAGACTCCCAGAAAGGTAGATTAAGAACTGACTAAACCAGTCCTATCCAGTCTTATGAGTCTTATCTATCTATCTATCTATCATCTATCTGCCTACCTACCTACATACCTATTTGTCAGATTCAGGCTTCAGATTATAGTATATTTCTTGGATAACAGGATCTGTTCATAACTGAATACTACATCACCAGATTGAATAACTAATGGAAGACAATAAAGACAATAAAGGACTGCCCACAAGTGTTAAACCGATTAAGTTCACTATAGATTTAGGAAAGATTCTCTCTACTATGAAAGATGCCACTAATTTGATTAAACTACTTAACTGTGAAATTAAAATAATTTTATGTGCATAGTATAGTTATGAGTAAAGCACGGTGAAATACCAGGTCCAACTAATCATCAGATTAATACAACAGGCCACAGTGATTGTACCACAGCTCTTTTCATTGCAGAGCTATGAAGATAGGACGCATGCCTAAAATGTTTCTGCAAGCAGCAAGTAGCTTTGGATCTAGAAAAAGAACGAATACTCATAGGATGCACACTGCAGATAGAAGTCTGAATTTTCTATGCGCATCTTCAGCATTACCCTCTGAAAAAAAAAATCCACGCTGGTTTACAATGAATATTTTCGAAGATGTTAAGACAACCCAAAACACTACTATGTTCTCACATAATATGATACCTACTGAGTCTTAGTTACAGAAAAAAAATCAGAAAGAAACAAAGTTCTGAGCTCGTGTACCTTGCATAGCCATTTGAAAAGTACCTAGATGTAATAAGGATTGAAAATTAAGTTTCTGTTACTGTTCGGCTCCCTGCTGTGAGCAACTATGCTCCACACACTTCCCGTTTTCTCTGTTATCTTTAGATTAGAGCTACAGATCCTGTATTTGATAAAGACCTTGCAAGAGAGAAGTGCTCTAACAACTCAGACTCCAAAGGACATACTGCAGGCAAAATCCCACCTATAACTGCGGCTGGCACACCAGTTGATGTACTTGCCCTTTACCCAGGGCTAAGCCTAAACCCACAGATTACTGCACAATGCATAACCATATCTATCATTACTATAGCGGGGTTTACAACAAATGTACTCCACAAATATATAACATATGATAGTGAATGTTTCTGAAAAAAAAATAGATTATCAGAGTTCATTTCCTTTGGTTTTTATATTTATTTTACATTTTATATGTATAACTCCTCTGCATATTTTAGTTTATAAAATGTCATATGGACATTTCATCTTATTTAAATACTGCTCAATATTTACTATTAATTCTTGAGAATTATTTTGAGTTAGAATAAAGATTTAATTTAAAATTTATCTGCTTACACTCCTAAAACATTTGCACGTACACAAATACACATTCAAAACTGGTGTTCTTAGCAGTTTTCAATATGCCTTTGAGTGTGCAAGTCTACACTTTCAGTAATATCTTTTTCTCATGTCTTGAAAATCCAAGAGCCTATTTAAATCCCATTGAGAGATTTCACATATTAATGCATATTAAACTGTACAACTGCAGTAAGCTCACGAAAGACTAAAATCTGATCACTATTGCACTGCCAAAGCTTAAAAGTACTATAAATACAACTATTAACCTGTGTATACGGAAGGTGGGATGACGAAGGCTCTGAAGAATGAAGCATGATTTGCAGCACAAATTTCCAACGCGAAACCAGTGCACCAATGCCCTCTGAGGAATAGTGCAGTGATCTAATCTTTCAGCCTGCACTAACTTGTTCCTCAGAACTTCACCTTTATTAACTCTTGCTTTCTATACCTGAATGGCTTACATTCAATGATCTGTCATATAACTGAATGCTGTACGAAATACAGAGCATCTTTTGAATTCGTGAAGTAGGTTTCAGAAAAGTAAATTTTCAAATATAGCATTACTACTTTATTTTAAATATACAGGTACAAATTCTATGGAGCTACACAGGATTTAAAGATAATTTCTTTGATAATCTTCTCATTTCTCGCATTCTTTTCTGAAAGATAGGGTTTCGTACTTCTGAAAGTACTTAGGAAGCATCAAAAAGTCAAATATAACAAAAGTACATGACACTTTTAGCAAAGCTGACTTACCAAGGGAACCAGCCTACTATAGAGCTCTCAAATACACATGGCTTCTCTAGAAGGAATCTCCTTAATAGTTATTTTCAACCCGTATTGATAACAGCTTAACTGAAGGAGGAGAGCATCCTCATAAGTAACAGCCAGAGAACGAAAGGCAGATGAATAGTTTTGTTTCAATTTTTAAACAGCATTTAGACCAACCAAACAACAAATCTCCAACATAACGCAAATTACAGCTTTTGAAATTAAAATGACCTCACACAGCCAGAAAGATGTAGCACTGCTGAAAATTGATAGCTATACAGCAGAAGAAGAAATGTTGGAATATGTACAGCTAAAATCTGCATAATAAGATAATCACTTTTAATATAGAAAAGCCTATCAGAGAACAGCAATTAAAACAAACTTATGAAGAAGAGATTGCACTAAGATCTTAGTTGCTCACCATGCTAGAAGGTACAGTCATATTTGTTTAGGAATAACAATAATAAAACTGATACCAACGCATTGCTTTCAGTGTACACTATCATCTCAATAACTACAAAAGACAAAAAGTAGACTAAAAAACAGAAAAGCTCACCACTTCTTCATGCCTGCATTTTCTCACATTAATTCCATTAATCTGTTATTAAAAAGATAAAGAGAAGGCTTACTCTACATTTCATAAGTATAGATTTCATTTCACTTTTCTACAAAAATATAAACAAAAGAACTTGCAATTTTACTCACCAATAGAATTGCATCTCCTATAAAGAGCAAACCTGAAAGTTCCGCTGAAAACAGAAAGCATATTTTTCACTCATTCCGTACAAAACAGCTGACATTTCATGTACATGTATTCCTATTTAATTTAAAGTTTTTACATAATCCTTTAAAAATTTAAACAAAAAACTTAATAAAAAACCCAACATAGAAGTTAAAAAAAAAAAAATTGGGATTTTTTTTTTTTTAATCCCAAAATATTGGCATATCAGTGTTACAATGAAAGAGTCTACCCAGCCCAAGTACAAGACTATGAAACTCACTAGCGCATTTCAGGCCATTATGGTGAGGTATGGCATACTTTTCTAAATAGAAAATGACTGCAGGACTAGGTCCTGTGTGCCTGTGAGAGATTGTTTCTTACGAACTCTGAGGAAAAAGCAACATGGAGACTCCAGAGTTACTTAAGAATAACAAACGTAACATGTAAGCTTTTACCAAAGATACTTTAGATCATGCATCTTTGATAAACTCAGTGGAGTATTCATGCTGGATAACACTTTATATGCTGAAGAGCTAGACAATCGGTATATTGTATAAAATTTCCAGCCCAAGTGAATTTGATTTTTAAAACAAATCTGTATCACATAAATCACAAGGGATTTAAAAAATTTAATTTTTTAAATTTTTAAATATTGGGCCACAGAGCTATCTGATGCAAATTTACTTTATGAATACACAAGAGATATAACAAAGATTAGCTGTCCATAAAGAAATAAATAAACTCTAACACAAGAACTAAAGAATGTTAACAGATTATATGGGATTATTTATCTATAGTATTACAAAACATCAGAGAAGACACTGTCTCAAAAAGACTAGAGTTGGACTTGATCCAAAAACTTTACTTATTTACATGAGTTTTAAAACTGGAATCAATATTGACATAAATTATGACACTCAAGTGCGTGTTTGAACGACTGCTCTTATTAGCTAGGGGTAACAAAGGATGCTTAAATTATTGGAGGATAGACATTCTGATTTAAGAATTGAATCAAATGTCACATTCATGTTTAGAGGTCCAAAGGAAGAGCTGGAGTCAATTGAGAGGAGGGCAGAACCAAGCCTGCAGAGCCTTGAGGTACAGGCTCTGGGTTGAACGGCATTGTCTGTATCAAAAAACCCTAGTGCAGACACATGGCATAACACTTTCTACACCCTAAGACAGTGCTTTCCTACACAAGAGATGTCCCTCAAAACTAGCTCTCTAAAAATCAGCAGTATTTTTATTGAACGCAGTAATGGAGATTATATCTCAGCTAGGTATTGAAGTTGGAAATAATGCATCAGCTGCTGCAGCAAAACATAATGACAAAAAATAAAAGAAAACAGTGCGTACTTTTGTGTGCTCAATTAAATGTAAGTCTATCTATCTTATTTTTCCTGCAGCACTTAATAGCATTTTAATAGCTAATGTAGGTGATACAAGCTACATTATTATGTATTACATACTTAAACGCATACTGCAAAGAACGGAGTCACAAGTGTAACTTCTAACCTTATTGCCTTCCTTAGGGGCTCATTCCATGCTACTATATAGTCTGCCTGCACAGAACTTTCATATCTGCCTTTCAGGATTGGCTTTCAGTTCTCAGTACGCTGATTCTCCTGTACCTCTCTCTGTCTATGTAGGTGAACATGAGATTTTTTTATGGTGGTACATTTTAACTGTGCAGAAGCAGCATCGTAGAATTATTGCATTACAGACGGAGGGAAATGCTCCCAAGTTTACCTTTCTGACCTTACACAAATGTACACAAATATACACAAGCATAACAGAGATATTAAATACACCATACTGGTACTGATTCACAACCTTCACCTATCATCATTGCACACATCATGAGCTGTTTAACCATTACCCATCTTCCTAGTACGTATTACATCATTCTAATAATTGGAAGACTTTGACAGTTAAAAACAATCCAGGGATTCAGCACCAGCTCTGCTTCCATTAAAAATAAGTATGGTTAAGCCCTTATGCAGTACCAGTTTTGCTATGAATGAGTTGCTGCACAGGCTTACACAGCACAGCATCTAATGTTGAAATAACATAGGGATTTATCAAGGTTCTGCCATTACCCACCCCTGTCTGAGTACCACCCTACTAACCAGTACAAAAAGATGTGCATTCTCTTCTTGTCTTACCATGCTTTAATGGGCAAACATTTGATCTGCTATAGCTTCCTGGCAATAACCATTTGGAAATAAAAGCCACAAAATCATTAACTTTTGTGAAATTTGTTAAATATTTCCATTCTCTAAACACTGTCCTATTTCTCTCCTTAAAAATAATGCTTTACAAAATCTTTTTTTAAGAAAAATCATGCTGAAGACCGTTTACAAAATATTCCAAATAGAAAATCTGTACTTCTTCAGAGAACAGTTTGGAGGAAGAGAGAGATCATAATGACATGGAGAGAGAAATGGTACACCAATAGCTGTTGTTGAACACTTGCTGAAGAACCTCAAGACTTAATCACCTTGCTTTAAGGAGCATGTCAAAACACAGTCTACTAGTCTGACACCCACCTCTTTGTTCTTTGGAAATCTTAGAAATGACCACTGGAATATTATGTTCTGCTCCACCCTGAAAACAGAATAAATGGCAATCTCGTCAGTCACTGGATATATCTTTTTGCTTAAAATCATATCTAACCCTTTGTCTAACTGCAGTTTTCAGAGAGAGTGAGAAAATAACTCTGTTTCTGCATTTCTCTCTCTTTTTTTTTTTTAATAGCTGTTTGATTGGGATTAATTCCTTACTGCCTTTCACAAAGGAGTTTTCACTTGCCATCAACAGCTCAAGAAGTGAATTGTACATTGTTCAAAACTCCACAAGACTTGAAGAAAAAGGACATCATAATGTATGAAATAGTGTCCTGCAAAAGCAAAACGGCCATCACACTACAATGGCAGCCACACTGTGACTACTTTGTTTTCATGCTGGCAAGAAACAGGTAAACAAAAGCCCAAGAAAAGCAAATTCGGACTTTTCATCTCAAAAGCAGCCTTTATTCATTCCCATCTCTGTCGTACAAGCACAAAGAGTGAGCAAAGCCGTGGAATAAGTAACCAGGAACAGAAAAAGAAACATTAAGAAATGGAACAGTAGGTGTCCATTAAATGTCGGGAAATAAAGGAGAGCTGGACAGTAATTCAACAGTTCGGCAGCAATTCAATGTTGTTGCTTCATTCAATTTATCCTGGTGGGACTGGAAACATTCATGGTGCTTAAGAATCAAGTATTAAAAAGAAACCTTAAATAAAAAGAAAATTTGAAGGAAGAGAAAGGCAAATATACACAGACACACAAATATTTTTTCCTTAGTAGAGAGCATCAAAGTGTAAGCCTGAATGTAACCTGCACAAATTCAGATCATCAGAAATGGCAGTCTGCCACACTCTAATTTTGCCTAGGAATTCTGGTTAAGAGTTTGCTTACTCTCCTCTTCAGGAATGGCTTTCTTAGGTCCAGGCATCCAGTGTCAAGGTGGGGAAAGGACTGACATGGGTATTTTGGCGGTCTAAGGAACAGTATATATCCCTTCTCCATGCAATAACCAGTTGTTTGAAACTAAACACGCTCCTGCACTCAATAGTTATTTCTGTCATGGAATAAAGATGGATTTCCTGCGAAACCATAGGGTTTTAAATAGGAATAAAGTTCCTTCTGTTTAGTGGCTATCAATGTAAATCGTTCTAAAAATACTGAGTTAATAGAGGTCCCAGTAATTATTAACGATCATATGTCTACAAGAAAGTTCTATTGGCATTGCACGAGATGACTGTTGACAAGCACAGAATGTACTGATATTTGTAGCATGGACTCAGTATTCACTCCACAAAGACCACGAGACTACCTTCAAGTCAGCCAGGCTTAGAGATGTATTCAGACTAAATAAATTGTAGCATTATAAGTTGCTGAATATTTTTCAATGATTTTCACCAGAGGAACAGCAACAGTAAAAGTTGGCTTCACTTAAGATAATCAGTTAAAGCTCACTAAATTTATAAGACTTAGCCTACACATTCCAGATTTTCCTTAGTCCCATGCACATTTAATTTCTTCCAAATTTTTCAAACAAACAGAAAAATAATTGCGTCGTTTCCCTGCCTAAGCCTCCAATGTTACACAGAGATTGCGCTATGAAGGACATTTGAAGCTCAGTGAAGGAGTGTAGGGTTTAAAGCTCAGCATAGCTAACATAGATGTTTTTTTCTCAGTAAAATGGCCTCCCTCCCTCCTTAGACTCAGGTCATCAGTAAAGAGGGAAATTACTGTTATTACTAAGCCAGCCTGCAATGCACACAACATGATTATTCCTCTCTCACTCACTATATCTACCTAAATCCATTTACAATGCAGATTTGAAGAAGCATTCAGTAATGTCCTACTGAAGAAAATGATCTGCTCTCACTGCATCCCAGTCTGGCCAGCATTAAGAATTCCTTTTAAATTAGTCATAGGAGGTGTTTCTGCTATTCTAAGAAACCAAAACTCATAATGGAAAGAGAAAATAGTTGACCACCTATCTATACCCAGTCATCAGAAGCAATTTGCTAAAAAAGCTGTATATATTCTGCAACACCTTGTCGAATACAATTTTAGATTTGGACTGCAGCCTTGCATCCTGCATCCTCCATACTTGATTCTCTGTCCTATAGAAGAAAGAGTCTATGCGTGTCTAAATTCTGGTTTTATAGGCTCAGGAGATACTCTGCTGAAGAAAGCCCTGGGAACAGAGGCCACTTTTCCATTGTTTTAAATTCTCCCTCCCTCTAGTGTGGACATGTAGTTATAACCTCAGACCAGAGGAGGGAACAAAAGCATGTCAAGTAATAGTGTTGAAGTCTTAACTGCTCAGACCTCTATCAAACTCTAACACCGATCTTTGTAATGCAAATTTTCTTTGTCATTTTTCCTTAAGCAGGCAAGGATAAGCCTGGAGTAAAGGTAGCTGGTGGTCCTACTAGAAGCAGCAGAGGAAGCTCTAACTACTGGCAGCTGTTTGAAGCTCACTGTCCTGGATGTTGGCCATTACTGGTGGGAGGTCACCCACACCTCCTTCCAAAGTGCCGCATGATACAGTTCTAAAGATTTTTTCTTATTGCAGTTTTTATGTATGAGTTTTTTTTCTGAAGTTTTAGTTGTATGAAAAATAGGGCAACTGAAACTAGTAACTTTTATTGACAAATCCTGGTTTTGTGTTTGGCTCCAAGTATAATATGAAAATTACTATTTTGTTTTCCTAAGCAGAGAGAGTCTATAAAAAATTAGACCAATTGTTGGACTTTAATATCCTCAGAGTTAGACAACATAGAGGACATTTTTATTTCTTACTAAAAGGCAACATTTATTCCACTAAGAAAATGGACCTGTTTGTTTGAGCTTTTGTTTTAAGGTCTACTGGCACAATATGGCTCAAGTCTATGAGGATAAACTGTCTTCCCAACTGAAAAAGGGTGACTTTATACATGTTGCCTATTGGAAGCAGTCCACGTAAAGCTCTGAACTGTTTCACGGACTCTCTTAGAGAATACTAGTTGGTGTAAGCCAAAACAGTGCCAGGAATCATGCCAGTAATTAAACAATATGGACAATAATGTGCCAATGTTAATTGGCACTTTTAAACTTTCCCTTTCGATAGAATAACGTAGCTGGAACCAAAATGCCACTTCCAAAATGCATTCAACACCAACTTCTGCAAGTACACAAGACTTTAAAGATGAAAAGATAATTTTTTAAACTAAAAGCTACATGATTCATCTATTAACAAAAGTTTTCCAACCTTTTTATTTTATTTTCCTGTTGTTTCAATTTGAAACACAAAGAAAATGTGCTAATAAAAAAATATCGCAGAATGAATGAAGAGAATCATCTAAGTATATACATAAGTGTGAGCAGGACAGGTGTGCATGCTTGCTTTAGAGATTTTTTTGATCAAGTCAAACTTTGAAAAGTCAAACTGAATCCAGCAGGTCTGTGATGCTGTTCACCATTTAAAAAGAATAATTAAAACAGAGGTAGGAAAATGGCACTGTAGAGTCCCAGTAGCCAGGACTCTGGCTCTAACTGCAAACCTTAATTTCTTTAATCGACTATCAATTTTATTGTCTATGTCTGCAAGAACACTACGCTCCAATTATTGAGAAACATGATGTTCTTTCAGAAGTCATACACTTAGCAGCTTCTTGTGTCAAATCTCTGCATCTCAAACTTGTTAAAGATGTGATAAATAACTGAAATACTACACTACACATCAATTTCTACATCTAAGTCTATGGCTATTCCTTCATAAACACCAGTTTATTACTGAGGGCTCTAAATAGGCTTCAGAAATTAGAAAATAATTCCTTCTGAAGAGTAAAACAGATCAGTTCCGCTTCAAATTCAATCACACTTTTACCATTAACTTCAGTAAAATGAAGTTTTAAGTTTGGATCTTGTGTAAAAATCAATTTCACAAGCAGGTTTTATTAACAGTCAGCTGAATCTCTGCTTTTACAAATATAGTTGGAGCACCCAGATTATAACAGAAAGGAAGAGAATTCCCTGCACAGAACAAGTCACCAAAAGATAACTGGACAGTTTCTTTTGGAATCATTAACATTTTGACCTTCTGCTCTTCTGGAAAAAAAAATAAAATCCAAAGGTCCAGAATACTTAAGCTGGGATAAGACACTTCCAAAATTTACTCAAGAGAAAGTTAAAAGGTGACTTGATCGTGTGAGATTTCTGATAGCATATGGGTGTTTAATTTAGCAGGAAAAAGGCATGATAATGCCCTAAAATGCCAAAAACTAGAAAAAAATTTATCAAAGCACAAGCAAATATTTTAAAGTGGGAGTCATTAATCACTGTACTGCTATAACTCACACCTCAGACAAACTGCATCCTCTGATATACACCACTGCCAGAATGTAAATCCTCAGAAAACCCCCATCTTTAACTAATATAAGAGTAGTAAGACAACAGGAACTACTGTAGCATGTGAGGTTGTGGGAGAGAGTTGCTGAAACAGGGAGGAAAGGTCTCACTCCTCACTCCTACAGGGTGGCTTGTACACCTCTACTTTAAGGCACTAAAACAAAACAATGACTTTTCTATTTAAAACTAAAATAAATGTAAGTCCTTTATTAAAGTTCAAGAATCTTACAAGATAAAGCAAAAAACCCCAAAACACAGTAACAAACTGTTATTTATCTCCAAGAGGAAGCAAACATTGATTGAACAGCACCTTTAAAAACAGAAAACTGGCACTTTTCAGAATATTTGGAATTAACATTGACACTTCATGGCATGCCTAAAAAGTCCATTACAGTGAGTCTTCATAAAGTTTGCCTACCAAACTACAAAAACATTAATTTATGTTCCGGTTCTAAGCTGTTTCTTACTACCAGCTTAAAATGATAATAGCAGATTATATTAAATAATTATTTGTTTTATGTTGTGTTTGCTATCCAATGGCTTGTTAATCACAGAATCATAGAATCACTAAGGTTAGAAGGGACCTTTAAGATCATCAAGTCCAACCATCAACCTACCCTGACAAAACCACCTCTAAACCATGTCCCTGAGCACCACATCTACCCTTTTTTTAAACACCTCCAGGGATGGCGAATCCACCACCTTCCTGGGCAGCCTATTCCAATGTCTAATAACCCTTTTAGTGAAAAAATATTTCCTAATATCCACTCTAAACATCCCCTAATCTTTCTTTTTGAGAATGTAGGATTATTAATAAAGGGATCTAGCAAAAGAGGTCCTATGTTCATTGTTTTTTTTTAAATAAATAATTTTAAAAAATAAATCATACTGCTTGATACATATCGACAGAATATCCTAGTACACAAAATTCTACTCACCATTTTCATTATCTAACCTGCACCATCCAAGTTTCCTTTGTTAAAATAGGTTTTCTATTTAATGTCATTAAATGATATCTTTTCTATTTAATGACATCTGTTGAAGGGATTTCTTCACCTAACTGTTAGATATTCCAAAAATTAAAAAGAAATTATTTATTTGCACCTGAATTTATGTAGCTTCACATAAAACCTTTATTTGTTTATTCACAAAAAACCTAGAAAACGTTTGAATAAAATAATTTAACTTAAAGCCTTTATTTGCAAATTCTATTGCAGTTGCTTCTAAGACACTTGATATAGCTTTTTATTGTTTTTTTTTCTATTGAAGCAGGATCTTAAACAAAAAAAAAAAAAAGGAAAGATTGAATAAACAATCTGTTTGAGCACTTTTAAATACTTCTGCAACTTCCAAAAATTTTCTTCAGAACAATGGATATCTTGCTTTAAAAATTTAAGAATATCTTGCTCTACTAATTTAAGAAAGACTATTGCACTTTCTCATTTAATTTATATTTCTCAATGATTTTTTTTCTACAATGTACCTGATACTTAAGTAATGTGATTTTGAGCTTGTCAGCAATTTTAACTCTAAAAGATAATCCATTGTAATATATGTAACTAAAAAATCAATTTCATTGACTCTTGATGAGATTTGCTCTCCAAACCTCAAAAGTCCTTAGTGTAACCAGTTACTTCTTATCACCAGCTAACTAGAACCTCATTCACCCATATACCTGATTTTACACTGAAACGCATTACTTCGTCGTTATTCAGTGACCTGTAACCTATAATGATATTGGAGGAAAATAACTTGTGTGCTGTTGACTAAACTCATGAGAAACTTTGCCACAAAACAGTAATTCGTTTTCCTTGAATAGGGATCTTTAGTGGGTCAAAAGCATAACAACAAGTGTACCAAGACATATTTTAAGAACTACTATTTCTGTTCAGCAATATTCTTATCAATGACAACACAAATGCACATTAATCCCTCTTCTGAGTCACTTCCTATAAGGTCAGCTCTAGCAGATGTTCACAGGAAAGTGTATACTTTCACTTTATACGCATAATTTAAGCCTCTTTGCATTCATGTGAAGTACACTTCACTTGTTTCCATAGCTATCTTGAGACTGAGGACTGCTGTGTTTGGAAGATAAAATTAATGTTGTGTTGTCTACACTGAGATTCAAAGCCAAGGTAAGATTTTCAAAATCATAGATTATGATGACAGAATTGATTAACCCTTCCTCCCTCTCCTCATCCCTCCCTCCCTCAAAAAGGATCACCTACACTCACATGTGTTCTTAAATATTACTGAAGAAAGCAAAAATATGTAACATGATAAATTGCTGCCTTTGCTTGATCTACAACAAAATAAACAATAGGAGAAAGCAATAACACTTTCTGTCCTACTAATGAATTGCAGTGAATTAATGTGATATTCTTTGTAAAAGAGAATTGATGATGAACTTATTGGCTGTTCCAAGTGCCTGCCACTGTAATTTAGCTTTCATTAATAACCACTTAAATTAGAGTGCTGTTGAACAAAAGTACAGTCTGTGCAGTTGCAAACACTTTTCAGCTCTCATATCAAATCTTATTACAGAGTTGCTCAGCTTGAATCTTAAGGGAATGATCTTTCCATTGCCTTCCATTCCATAGGGCAGTGTAGTTGCTGGTTGCCTACTGTGAAAGTATCTAACATCCTAGAATGTGTTTGCTGTCTTATTTTTAATCCTCTAAAATACAGTTTGTTTTCTTTAAAACAAATATTAACTATATATAAAGACACTTCTTGTGTAACATGAAATAATAGACCAAAAAAATCATCCTACCTTTATACTTAACCCAAATCCTCCTACAGTCTGTCTTCTAATTGTTACTGTTCTTTCCTAGAAAAAAAAAAAAAAATAAAACCCAAGTTTTGTTAGATTCAATGTTTTGCGCCATAACATCTATATTCACACTTCAATAAGTTGTTTCTGTGCTTCCATCCTACATTGATTTTTCCTGTTTTAATAAACTTGTGAGTTCCTGAATGCGAAAATCCCATGAAACCTATGCTGCAGAGGAAAATGACAAAGTTTGGAAGAAAAGCAGAAGTCCTGTCTCAAACAAAAATTTGTTTGTTCAATTAATACCATACTAGCAAGTACTGCAATGCAATAAGAACAGAACTATAGAGTTTAGCAGTTAGTGCATAACACATGCATTTGAGAGGTCTTAACCTCTACTAGTCTTAAACTGGTCCCATATGCAGATTGAGCATTACATGCTGAAGCACATAAACTGCACTCCTGTAGCACATTTTTCAATTAGTTTCCTCCAAAAGGAATACAGTTTGTGTACTCCAAGACCACTCAGTGATGTGAACCAAAGCATGGTAAGTGCACATCATCATACAGAAATTCATTTCAAAGTACAGTCCTGATCAAAATAATAAAAAAAAAAAATACAAACACATCCACTGTTGACCTCAGAGCTATGGTTTAAAAATCATAACCAATGATTTAAATGGTGCTCTTACAGTCAGAATTATTTAAAACAACCATTTTCTTTTCCTTTTATTGCTCTTCCTAAAATTTGTTCTGTAAAAACCGTGGGCTAGTATCTGTCCTAGACATGAACATTTACAAAAAAGAGGGTTTTTTTTCTAGTCTGTCTTGTTGACTTTATTCCCAAAGATCGTTTAGAACTAGTCACTTTCGTTACTAGCACTAAAAAATCTTAGTAGCAGATATACCATATGTCCAGATACAAATACAAGGAATATATAGATTTTTTTTTTATGCCCTCTACATGTGATCTAGATTTTATACTCATTTTGTTAGATGTATTGCAAAGCATAAGTCTGCATATATATCTTATCTATACATGTTAATATATATCAGTACAATCAGCATAGATTGCGAGCATCAGTTGGGTTTGAATAAATCTCTCATCAGAAACATACCAGTGACAGAGGGGATGAAATAACTTCAGAGATACTTTTTCCTCCTCACTTCATATATAGAAAGAAAAATAAAAGGATGTAGGGCTACAATATAAGAGTTTTGGAAAACTGATATTGCTGAATTTGGGGGAAAATCCAGTTGTCTTCTTTCTTTTCCACATTTTTGATAAATATGAATTGTGTAACTGCAGAAAAAGCAAGCATAAACTAGTCCAGTGTTTTGGATGGCAAGACAAAATGGGTGGGCTAAAATGAGACTTTCCATTAATTTATTTTGGCTAATGCTTGTAAATGTTTAACCTGAGAAACAGGTACATAACTTTGCTGTTAAATGCCCAAACATTTCAATTTATTTTTTTTTAACATCTGAAATGTATGAAAAAAATACACTCTTATATTTGTAACCCAAAACATGAATGTGTAGCATGACAATAGAGGAATATATGGCTATCTTGTTTCATCCATATGTTTCTGTGCTGTTCAGAGGGACCAGAGGAGCCTTCTCGTCTCTCAACTCACACCTTGTAGGAAGAAACTTTCATAATGAAGTTCCTGGAAACTGGGTTCAGTCCACAAAGTTTTTTCACTTCAGGCCACAAACTGTATTTAGAAAACTTTTTGTCTGACCAGCAGTTTCAGCCGCAGGTAACGCTGCAGACAATATATTCAGGATAAACTAATATAGGCCACAGTCTGATGTGTGGTCTAAAGTGAGTTTAGAGAAACGAGCAGAAAACTGTCAGCTGTGGCTCCACTGGTAGCTGTATTTTTCTTAACTCCATCTCATTTCCAGCTCCAGCTTGTCTTCAATATCTAGTTAAGAACAGAAGCTTGACTTGTACACCCCGGTCAATACATTATAGTATTTTTGTTATACATGCCCAAATCAAATAGAAAATACTTGTGTTACCTGAGAAGATCTTGAAAAATAGCAACTTGTAATAAACTGGCTTGACAGTATTACATTAACCATGAACGGAATAAAGAATATCACACTATACAATTAAATTTCAAATGAAGTAGTATGCTCAGTGAAAACATAAATCTTCATTAAAATTTGTAGTACGTGATATGTCAGTAGTCACTGTAAAGTTTAAATAGTGGCATCTGAACATATTCTAAGCTTGAGCTATGCTTTTAAAAAGCCTAACAGAAAGCTCTCCTGCAGAATACATCTATCCTTGTTGTTGTCTTTTGTAGCACAACACACACACAACTAGCCATATAAAAGTATCGATAAAATATTTTTTCTGGTTTTCAGTCAAGTGCAGGCAGAGCCAAGTGAGCCCTGAAAACAGCTGATTTGGGGTATTTTGTGAGCTTACTGGTACTGTCAGACAGGAAACTAGAAACATTTCACACTGGAGTTTGGCACTACTTTTTCAGAGAAAGAAATGCATGTTTCAGAAATACCTTGCTCGCACAGCAGATTACTAAATAGACAAAACTGTGTAAAAATAAGCAAAGGGAACAGAAAAATTTCAAGCAACTGTAATTTTCCAGCACAACAAAATGTATCAGAGGGTTTCATCTGGTATTTTCTCTAGGTTCTTTTCCATCTCTACTGAGACTAGACATTAAATATTTCAGGTCTGGACTGTTACTGAACTGAACTTTAAAAACATATTGCAAACTAGATCCACCCAAGTGATGCGTTATGTGTAATGAAGGGATTGCATTGTATTTAACATAGGCTAATTCAACACACTTCTCAGTCTCACAATAAAGAAATATTACTCTGGTGTATTTAAGCGTACAGACTTACATATTCTTCACAGCATGATAGCTAACAATTACAAACACGCAAACAATGATTTTCAAAAATACAAATCAGAATTACATACGAGTCATATATTTCATTAGTAAATCATCAATAACCACCTAGTCTGCAATCGCAAACATCACATAAACAATATAGTGAAGCCACTTTGCAAGAACTATCAGAAGCGTCACACATTTCATACACCAGAATTTTGGCTTAGGATCAGGTACCAGCTCTGATCAGCTCCTCTTTTTTTTTTTTTTTTTTTTTACCCAGTTGTTTAAAAGTAAAATGATAGCACTCATCTAACCACAGTGAATCCATCTAAAACTGAGCCATTGGTCAAGGCAAGTTTTCTCCTGTAATCAGTAAAGGAAAATAAATACATTCAACCCAGGTGAGTCAAAGCAGGTGCCCAAGTCAGGTGATAATCATCTTCATGCTATGCCCTCCATTGAGTATAGAGCCAGGATGTCAAATTTGACTTTGGAAAGACCAATTCCTCCCTTTAGAGTTGCAAAGTAACTTGAATAAGTATTTTGATGGCAGATACCAGCTTTGAAATGCTTTGCCAGAAAACTCTTTTATCCGACTAAGTTTTCCTTTGTGACTTGCATGATTTGCATGTGACTTTTTGTATGTGACTCGCAAAAAACCCAAACGAAGCTTCTTTTTCAGTGCCATCTTCAGCCAAGGTGAACTGAATGAATCTTGTCAGCATAGCATTATATCTTAATGTACAATAATAAGTTTAATAAAATGATTAATACAATAAAGAAGTTTGAGCAGCAAACTAAAACAAATTATTTTGTTCTGATGTCTTTAATTAGCATTTCAAGTGAACAATAACAATAATTATATGCTTTTCACTGGTCTAATAGCTTTAAGTTCTTAAAATGCTTTACAAAGATTTATTAATAAAATATGGTGACAACTCTGGAAGGCAACACATTTCATACCAGTAAAGAAGTGCTCTAAGTATTCTGATCGGGCATTTATGCTGTTCCAGGTTAAAGATAGTGCTGCTCCATTGATTCCAACTATCTGCCTAAAAACAAATCTAACTAAAAATCTGTGGCAGAAGTATATTTGTCTATTAATATTTTACTTAGGTTTGCTTTCCCCTCTATTTGCACAGGGTAGTATTCTACGACTGAATTTGCAATGGTTTTTCAAATTCCAAAAGCAACTTCATCTCCATGTTTACAAAATAAAACTTGATTTTGATGAAAAGCTACTTAGTTCAATACCAAGACTACACAAAATGTCATGTGAGCTTGTAATTCCACTATTGCATTTTTTATCTACATTACACCAAACAGAGGGAAAGTTACAGCCCCTAGTATCCCTAAATGCAACATCCAGAGCAGAGTTTGCAAAGGTGTTTCCTGGAACAGAACAAAAGTAGTTGTAATTTTATTGAAAAACTCAAAGCTGCTGCCAAGCTGTCAGCATTTTCCATGCCTCTAACTCAGAAAATTCCTCATCCACACATATGTTCATTGACTGGAAAGGAGAGCTAAGAGTTTTGTCAAAAAAAATCTTCCTCAGAGCTATGCAGTGAAACAGAAGCAAAGATTTTGAGGCTTTTGGTAAAGAGGTATTAAAATTTCTCCTTAAAATCCTTATGATCTTCTTGAGACAAAAGACGTCATCTTAAATGAGATTAGAAATGAAGAATGACCATGTGAGCACGCAGCAACAGTAAATAAGAAAGGAAAACACAGAATCCTATGTTATCATTAACTATTAACATTTAGTCAAGAATTAATGTTATTTTTGACAGTTAAATCTTAGGGCACAGTAAAGATTCAAATATTTCATATTGATTGGTATGTGATGTAAAAGAAAGTTTATAATTGCTTAACTGACTCTTAACAATAACGATTAATTAGTAATGCTTTCAAATTATTTATACTCTATAATATAAACCAGTAATCTAATGTGATCTAATTATTTGTCTCTACGAACGTAGTCAAATAACAGTTGAACAAAAGGATGAAGAAATGTTAAAAGTCTTGATAAAACTGAGTTAACAGCCTGTGAAATGTCAATATTCCATTACTCAACCTTTTTACAAGGATATAAATATTACATTTTCAGTTTGGGACACTGATGTGTCTGGTTATTCATCTTACAAGAGTGAAGGTATGAAGAATTAATTTGTCTAGGTCCAG